GTCTTTACTCATAGATCTAAAATTTAATTCTTTATTGCAGTAACTGTATTGGCTTATGAAATCTATTATTTTATTATTATTGTATATATGATCAGTTATTTATTAGGTTCTTGGAAAGAAATTTAGAACACTAATTTGTGAGGATAAACTCCATTTGTAAGGGCAGACATGGATCACAGGTAGCCCTGGAGCTGAGGAACAGCTTTGAGTTTTGGTAAAATTTGTGAGTCCACAGCTTTCTGATCAACCTTGCACTGCTCTGAAATGCCGTATTTCTCTTTATCTGTGTCAAAGATCTCAGCCTTCTGGTAATTGGGCTTCTGCAGCTTCTTTTGTTTGAAGTAATCATTAGAGAGGTGTTTTGGTATTTTTACTTTGCTAATACCAAGTTTTGTGGAGGTGGCAATGACAAATTTCTGGTGTGTTCTATGCAGTGGAGCTTGACTGAGGACCAGAGATCCAGTCACAAGTCATAAGCCACTGCTCTGCTGCTTCTGAAAAACCACTCTCTTTCCTCTGTGGCATCCAATGAGGATGATCAGAGAGGTTCTGGGAGTGATGCTGGCTCACAGCTTTCTCACATGGTGACTGAATGGTTTTATGCCATGACTTAACAGCTTTTGAGATATATCTTTAGTAGGAAAATACCTAGGCATTTTTTTTAAGAGGTTTTTGCTATAGGGCTCTTGTGCTTGCCATACAGACAAAGAGAGACAGAGAGACAGAAAGCGAGAAGTTACCCCTCCAGGGGGGATGGCCACGCTGCAATCCCTTTTCCTCCATTCTCCTCTTGGGATCTTGGTCATACACACACACGCGCTGGACGTGAGTTTTAAGCCACTGGGTCCAGGACGTGAACTGCTGTCGACTACATGGGAGTCCAGCAACATAGCCATTACACTAACTGCTGGTCCCAATACCCAGGCATTTTGTGAAGTTAAACCACCCAGGTATCACCATTCTTATCCCCCCCCAACTGGTTTTGTGATGGTGGCAAGAACCTTCTTCTTCCTTTTCTTTTCAACCCTGAATTTAGTGGCCGAGCATATGCTCTTGCACATGGCCTTCCTGGAATAATTGGCAGATCAGGATTATCTGCAAATGCCCCAGCGTAGGACTAGGTTTTGGCTGCAATGGGGCTTCCCCTTCTTGGGCTTTTTATCTTTGGAGTCACTTTATTTTTTAGCTTCATTTTTATTTATTTACTTATTTGTTTATTTTTATAAACATTCAATCACATTGTTTAGCTTACACAGTGAGCATTTCAATATGTGAACATTTCTTTCCAATCCAGTTGATCAAAATATCTTCAACAGATAACACCACACCTCCCCTTCCTGTCAATGCTCTTCCTCTGTATCCCTCTTCCAAATGTCCTTCCCTAGGCCCCACTCCTCCACACACACACCACATCTGGCATTCACACCCATCTCTTGTGTTTGTATATCTTTTAGTCAATCAGTTTCAGTCATAGAGTGCAGACACTCAGTATATATTAAGTGAGGACATACAATGTCTCTCCTTCATAGCCTGGTTTGTTTCACTCAGCAGTAAATCTTCCATATTCTTCCACTTTCTGTCAAAAGCCAGGGTTTTGTTGATTTTTATGGCTGAATAGTATTCTATAGAGTATATGTGCCACAGTTTTTCAATCCATTCATTTGTACAGGGGCATTTGGGTTGGTTCCATGTCTTAGCAATCGTGACTAGTGCTGCAATAAACATTGATGTGCAAGTACTTTACCAATGAAGAATTCTTCTGTCCTTTGGGTAGATATTGAGGAGTGGGATTGCTGGATCATATGGTAGTTCTATTTGTAGATTTTTGAAGAATCTCCAAATTGTTCTCCACAGTGGCTGGACCAATTTACATTCCCACCAGCAGTGTAAAAGAGTTCCCTTTCACCACACTCCCAAAACTTAACATTTTTTTTTTTTTAATCTTAGACATTCTGACTGGGGTTAGGTGGTACCTCATTGTTGTTTTGATCTGCATTTCCCTTACGATGCTTTTTGGCTATTTGTATGTCATCTTTAGAGAATTTTTTTTTTCCAGCTCCTTCTCCATCTTTTAATAGGGTTGATCATCTTTTTTCCAAACAGCTTCTTTAGTTCCTGTGTATTCTGGTTATCAGTCCCTTATCTGATGCATAATTTACAAAAATATTTTCCCTTTCTGAGAGCTGTCGATTCACACTAATTACTGTGTCTTTTGCCATGTAGAAACTTCTTAGTCTGATGTAGTCCCACTCAGTTTTATAGTTTGAGGTCTTAGATTTAGATCATTGATCTACCTTGACTTGATTTTTGTCAAAGTTGAGAGGTAGGGGTTCAGATTCATCTCTCTTCAGGTGGCAATCCAGTTTTTCCAGCACTATATGCTGAAGAGGTTTTTCCTTTTCCCACTGGATTGACTGATACCCTTTTTCAAAAATCAGTTGACTGTATGTTTGGGAATTTATTTCTGGGGACTCTATTCTGTTCCATTGGTTCACATGTCTGTTTCTGTGCCAGAACCATGCTGTTTTGATTACCACAGCTTTGTAGTATATTTTTGGGTCAGGGAGTGAGATGCCACCCACTCCAGTCTTCTTGTGTAGAATTGCTTTGGCAATACGGGGTCTTTTATGATTCCAGACGAATTTTATGATTGTCTTTTCTAGATCTGTGAAGAATGTGTTTGGTACTTTGATTGGCATTGCATTAAATAAGTAGATTAATTTAGGTAGAACTGCCATTTTCATTATTTTAATTCTTCTAATCCGGGAACATGGGATGTTCTTCCACATTTTTGTGTTATTTTCTATTTCTTTTTCTAGCTTCTCATAGTTTTCCTTGTGGAGGTCTTTAACTTCTTCGGTTAGATTTATTCCTAAATATCGTATACTTTTGGTGGCTATGGTAAATGGAATAACTTTTTTCAGTTCCATTTCAGTCTGCCTGTTATTTGTATATAGAAATGTTATCAATTTCTGTATATTGATTTTATATCATGCTACTTGACTGCAATCATGTATTACTTCCAGTAGTTTTTCCATGGAGACCATTGTGTCTTCTATGCATACAATCATGCCATCTGCAAATAGAGAGAGTTTCACTTCTTCTTTTCCTATTTAAATGCCTTTTATTTTTTCCTCTTTTCCCATTGCATTGGTGAGGACTTCCAGTACTATATTAAAAAGGAGTGGAGAAGGTGGGCATCCTTGTCTTGTTCCCGTGTTTAGTGGGAAAGCTTTTAGCTTTTCTCTATTCACGATGATGTTCGCTATGGGTTTTTTATACATGGCTTATATTGTGTTGAGAAATGACCCTCCTATGCCGATTTTGCTTGAGAGTCTTGATCACAAAGGGATGTTGTATCTTATCAAATGCCTTTTCTGCATCAATTGATATGACCACATAATTTTTATCTTTATTCCTGTTAATATGACATATTACATTTATGGTTTTGCGTATGTTGAACCAACCTTGCATTCCTGGAATAAAGCCTACCTGATCATGGTGTATGATCTTTTTTATAAGTTGTTGGATACGATTTGCTCGTATCTTGTTGAGAATCTTTGCGTATATATTTATCAGAGATATTGGTCCATAGTTTTCCTTCCTTGTCCTGTACCTATGTTTTAAGGATAAGGGTGATAGCATCTTCATAGAATGAATTACAGAGAGATTCACCCTTTTGGATCTTTAGAAATAACTTGAGCAGAATGGGGGTTAAATCTTCTTTGAAAGTTTTGTAGAATTCAGAGGTGAATCCATCAAGGCCAGGGCTTTCCTTTGTTGGGAGGTTATGTAGTACCGATTCAGTCTCCTGGCTTGTTATGGGCCTATTCAGTCTTTCTATATCCTCCTGGTTCATTCTTGGTAGATTGTATTTGTCTAGGAATTTGTCCATCTCATCCAGGTTGTCTTGTTTCTTAGCATATAGATGTTCAAAGTATCCTCTAATGATGTTTTGAATTTCTACTATGTTGTTATATTACCAGCTTCATTGCAGTTTTGATTCACCTGATTCCTTTCTCTCTTCTTCTTAATAAGTCTTGCTAGTGGTGTATCGATTTTCTTTATCCTTGCCACTGACATCAGACTTTTAGGCTTCGGGTTTCTTCTTCTTAGCATCCTGCTCTGCAGCTTTTCTCTCTGCTATCTTATAAGGTGGGAAAGAGAGGAAATCTGGTATTTTAATTTCCTTAACTTAATAAACGGGTCTTTCCTCAGTGGCACAGTTGCAAGCATTTTGAAATATGGAGCTGGAAGTCACATGCTGACCACATTTCAGACCTTTGACCCATTTGACATGGTGCATGTGCACGTGCCCAGGATCCTAATAAGCTGAAGAACTGGAAGAAGGGCATTGCCATGAGACCTAGCCCTGTCGAGGGTGCATCTCTCTATCTCTCTTTCTTTCTCTTATGTGCATACACGTGCTGTACCTTGAACAATAAGAGTAAATAAATATAGGGTAATAAATTGTTCTTAAATTGTAGACAAAACTGTTTTGAGAAGTAAGGGGTATGCTGACTTTTCATGGTGTGATAAAATAAAATGGGTATGTAAATGAAATTAATTGTATCTGGCATGAGTAATCATATGGATATGTATATAATTTATTAATTTGATGCCAATTATTTGGAAATAAAGGCTCTATAACTATGAAATTAAATTGAGGAACCTTACAATGATTATGTATATATGGTCTTCCTGTCATAAGAAAGTTGTCACTTGCTAGGGATCAGCAGGTGGCATGGTGGTTAATGTGCTGGACACTCCCACATGGCTGACCATGGTTTGAGTCCCAGACCTGGTGGCTTGCTTTCTCACTTTCTCTCTTTCTCTCTCTATCTCTTTCTGGTCAAATTAAAAAAATGAATGAATAAATGTAAAAAAAAAAATAAAATTGTCACTTGTAATAAAGAAGAGTGGTTGTTTTCCCTGCCCCAGAGTATTTTAAACATATTTTTTATCTAATATATTATAAACAAAGACATGCTTTATTTCAGGACATTAACAAGTGCTGGTAAAGACCTGCAAGATAATTTTTTGAAGGCCCTGGCAATTAGAGAAGAAGACAATCGCAATGGAAAAGTGAGCGTGAGTACATTTTTCAACAGCATAAAATGTATGCACTAAAGGCATAGTTAATATTATAACCTTTAATATTTTCACTGAAAAAAAAAGTCATGAAGGATAAAATATGCACTTCATTATTTATATATTATAGAAATATATGTAGAAAGCTTTGAAATTACTATTGATGTCTGTAAAAGTAACCAAATAGTGAAAAGAACTCAGGTTGTAAACATTATTGCAGAGAAAATGCCTATATTGGCAGACTGGTTTGTCATCTTGGTTAAACTTTTTTTTTTTTTTTTTTTTTTGAGAGGTTTTCGCTATAGGGTGCGAGTGCTCGCCAGACAGAGACAGAGAGATAGAAAGCGAGAAATCACCCCCCGGTGGGATGGCCACGCTGCAATCCCTTCTCCTCTAGTCTCCTCTCAGGATCTTGGGCATGCATGCACATGCGCCCGGCGTGAGTTTTAAGCCACCAGGTCCGGGACGCGAACTGCGGTCAACTACGTGGGAGTCCAGCAACACAGTCAGTACGCTAACTGCTGGTCCCCAACTTCTACAGCTTTTGAGCCCAGCCTCCTGTTAGACTCTCCCAAGTTGCTTCACCCACCAACCCCCAAGTTTGGTCCCTTGACTACCTGATTTTCCATGACTCCTGAATGATCGATCTATAGTTTGTATTATAGTTATGGGAGATGTAATAGAAAACACAGAACAGAAAGACGTGATTTTCGATTCATCCAAGAAAAACATGCTTTTGCTTTATTTAAATGTGCTCCAGATCAAATATGTAAAGATTGTTAATATTATTTGAAATGAAGATTTGCTTTCACTTTGTTGATATACTAATTGTGATAAAAGTCTTTTTAAATCTTAAATATTAAAAAAATGAAAAGAAACATGAAAAATTTAGAGAAATAGAAAAATATGTATGTTAGGTGGTCTACTTTACCAATCTTTTCTGAATAAAAACCTGGAATTTTCCTCATTCTCAGTTCCACTGAACATTTGACATGTAGACAAAACCTTCAATTTACCTAAGAGAGGGAAAAAATGATAGCTTGGTTAGACAACTGAATAAAATTAATCCAGATTCAAAATAAGGGAATTTTTTTTTTGAGAAAATAGCTGTGAAAGATTTCAAAAGGGTGAGGATAGAAATATGGACAGAGACTAGACTCTGGAGAATTTTGTAAATCACAATAGCAAAGTTTGGAATTTATCTGAAACCTAATAGAATGAGTAACTAGGGGCCAGCCAGTGGTGTGATGGTTAAAGCAGCTGGATCCCACATGGTTAACTGTTTGGTTTGAATCCCAGACATGGTGATTTGAGAAACATGCTGACATGTTGTGCAGGCATGTCCAAAATCCTGAAAGGAGAGAAGAATTGCAGAATGACCATTCCCCATAGGTGATGCTTTCTCACTCCCTTACTCCCTGTATCTCTGTCTCTCTCTGGTGAGAGCTCAGTGAAATTTTTAAAAAGTTAAAAAAATTTTAAAAAATTTTTAAAAAATTTTAAAAATTTTAAAAAAAACAAAGAACATCTAGAAACATGGGAAGAAAATCAGGAAAAGGTCATATCACAGGAATCCATGTGAAGGAGTTGATCAAGGAGCCAATGATCATAACTAGTCAATCAAATTGGCTATATGCAGTGCTCTTTTCTTTTTCATGTAGAAAGAACAAATTCCTCCTTTAGTAAACATAAAAAGACCAGATTCCGTAGGTTTGAGGAAAACAATAGCCCACAATTAGACAGTAGAACCAGCAAGCACAGCTTCAGAGACTCTAGCCCATGTTTTTTAACCATTATGGTTGACTTGTGCTCCATGACACTTTCTTTAATCTTGCTTAACCATGGCATTGCCTTTGACAATGATTTATAGTACCCACTAATTGGAGCAGAAGCATATCAGTTACTATAAAATCTTCACTTTCTGTCACTCATGTTGGATGAGCTATTAAGTTCTCTTAAGTATAAGTCAAATCAGTTTTTGCTTTCTGCCATTTTAACTATTACTTACCTTGATTCAAACCACTATTATGTCTAAAATAAATGACTGCAACAGCCTCTTAAGTGATTTGTGTATATATTTTCTTGCTCAACTCTCATTCATTTTCTAATCACTCAACACACATTGTTTCTTCACCTGCTTGAGGCTGGAACAGTGTAGGCACTGAAATTCTGGTGGACTGCAGAGTCCATGACGTAGGTTTATATTTTCAAGAGGGGAGGTAGAAAACAAGCAAGTAAAAGTAAAATAATTAATTTCATTTATGGATAGGTACTATAGATAACACAATAGTAGAAAATTGAGCAGAGATTAGATAGTTGTTTTCTTTTGCTACTGTATATCACTTTGAGGAAAATCACCTTGAGGAGGTGACCCTATTGAGACTTGAATGAAATGGAAAGTTTTAGCAACAGAGTTGGCAAGGAGAGAAGCCTATGCCAGATAAGATTTTGAAAGAAAAAGACATCCCAAGAAGAAAGAACAGCAAATTCACAGGAATTGTGGCATATTCAAGAGATGGTAAAAAGACCAGAATGCTTGAAGTATAGTTCATGAAGAGACTTAGACAGATGAGATCAGAGAGAAAGTCAGCAAATAGATTACAGAGATTTTAAGAAATCTTGTTCTTTGTTTTTGTATTTGTTTTATTATTGTCATAGAAAATCACTGGATCATTTTAAGCAGGGAAGTTAGCTAATCTGGATTACATTTTAAAAAGGCTGATCTCATTGCTGTTGCATAGAGTGTGTATGGGAAGCAAGGCCAGAGAAAAGGTAAGGAGGAAAGTTAGGGAACTTGTATAGTAAACCTGCAAGAGGTGAAATTCCTACTACAGAATAGTAGCAGTTGACATGAAGCGAAGTTACTAAATCATGTCCATGTTTTGGAGGCAGAGCAGACAGGGTTCATTTATGGAAAGGATGTGGACTAATAAAGCAAGAGAGAATTTAGGATAACTTAAAGGATTTCTAAAACAAAAAAGTAGGTGGATGGATGATGGGGCCATTGAACTCTTTAGGAAGCCAATAATGAAATATCAATATTTCTGTTCTGGTTGTGTTAATTTCACATTGCCTATTAGATATCCAAATAGAGAAATTGCTTGGTCATTTACGTGCAATGATTTGAAATTTAGGGGAAAAGTCTTGGCTAGAAATATAGATATGAAAGCCATCAACATTTAAATATTATGTAAAGTCATTGACTTACAAAAGTTTAGTAGGCCAAGAGTATAGGTAAAAACCATGAAGTACTGTGACAGATCTTTAGGATGCTCCAACTTTTAGAGATCCAGAATGTGATGAAGAGCAAGTGAAGCACACGGAAAAGTATCAGGTAGGAGAAAAATCAAGTGAGAGCAAGGCTACAACACAGGGAGAAGAAAAATTCCTAAGAAAAGAATGCTCATTCTGTCACATGCTGCTAAGAGGTCAGGTAAGTGATGAATAGTCATATGCTATATAATGATATTGCAGACAATAGTGGACTGCATATATGGCAGTGGTACCATAGGATTATCATGGACCTGCAAAGTTCTTATGACCTAATGACATCCTAATGCCATAGTGCAAGGCATCACTTATGTTTTTGTGGCAATGCTGGTGTAAACAAATCTTCTGTGCTGCCATTGATAGAAAAGTATAGCAAATGCACATTTATACAGTACATAATACTTGATAATGAGAATGAACCAGTTACTGGTTAATGTGTTTACTATACTATACTTTTTAATCATTCTTTAGAATGTCTCCTTTCTGTGAAAGTATAGCATAAAACAGTATATTGTATACCAGCCTCATACATCAGGTGTTTTCCAGCTCTCTTGATTGTATTATTTTGTGTTATGCTTGATCTAATTTTATGTTGTGTTCATCATGGCCCTTAAGATGTGGGGGTGAAAGGCAATGATATTGATGATCCTTACCCTGAGTGGGTGGGCCTAAGCTAATGTGTGTGTTTGTGTCTCAGTTGTGTCTTGGATTTTGCTTTCATTGCCAGAGAGCATGTATCCTTATGAGAGAGAGAGAGAGAGAGACAGAAACAGTGAGAGAGAGAGAGATGGAAACAGAGAGAGATGGAAACAGTGAGAGGGAGAGGGAGAAGGAGAGGGAGAGAGACAGAGAGAGAGAGAGAGAGAGCGAGCACAAATCCAGTAGGGTTTGGTTATGCTGCAATCCTTTTCTTTTTTCTTTTTTCTTTTTTTAATAGAGGTTTTTGCTATAGGGCACGTGCGCTTACCAGACAGAGAAATAGAAAGTGAGAAATCAATCACCCCCCACAGGGGATGGCCACACTGCAATCCCGTCTCCTCCATTCTCCTCTTGGGATCTTGGGCACGCACACACATGTGCCCGGCGTGAGTTTTAAGCCACTGGGTCCGGGCTGTGAACTGCGGTCAACTATGTGAGAGTCCAGTGACATAGCCATTACACTAACTGCCAGTCCCGCTGCAATCCTTTTTCACGTTTCCATCAACTCAGGGTTTGGGGCATGCATGTACTCATATCCAATGTGTTTCTCAAGCAAGCAGACTTTATAGACATATTTACCAAGTAAAGTTGGATTTGGGAAAAGGAGTAGCCTCTTTGAGTACATTTATTTTATCTGTACTGTTGTACCAAATGATCTTTATTATATAATTATATTTTTTTCATAGAAAAAGTCTTAAATTTCACTTTCTTCTTAAAAAATTAATAAATATAAGTTGTACATATATGTAGGGGCACAATGTGATTTTTTCAGTACAAGAATATAATACATAATGATTAAACCAGAATTAGTATACACATTATATTCTTTTGTCATTAATTGTGTTGGGCACAGCTAAAATCCCTTCTTTTAGTTATTTTGAGATATATAGTAAGTTGTTGATTATGTTCTCTCCACTGCATTTTGTAACACTAGAAATTGTTCCTCTTATTTTTTGTGTTTCCATTAATCAACAACCCTAAATTTAACCTTCATTGAGTATGCTAAAGATAAAACATTTAATATTGTTTGG